TATGAATTCAAAAACTTTCTTTTTTTTTTTTGTGGCTGAGGTTTGAGACTACCATTAAATAACCAATAGACTTAGTGCCAAATTATAATTAACATGTGTCATTTAGCGTGAACTAATGCTATGCAGGAGATTGCGAGCCGAAGACTTTGGTGTACGAATAGAAAACACGCAAATTAGGAATTCAAAGCTTTAATTTTTCTTTGTTAATACTTCAGCCCTATTGACTGAACAAATATAAAAGGCCTAATTTTTGCACCTTACAAAACTCGGATATGTTAAATATCTCTAACAATTATTAAAATAACCTAGATAATCTCGAAATTATTTTAAAGTTGACTTCCCCTTTTTTTTAAGTCTAGATTCGTTATAATTATATCAGAAACTTTTGTAACTTATTATTCGTAGTAATTTTTGTTTTTTTTTTTTTTACAGCAATGACTAGTGTTCGTAGAAAGAAGTATATCTCCGGGAGGGCATGTGAAAATTGCAAAAAAAAAAAGCACAAATGCGATAATGAAGGCTTTCAATGCAAATATTGTGCAAAACGAAATCTTATGTGTGTACGAGTAAAGTGGGATAAACGTGGTCGTAAACCTAATAAAACCGCATTTCAAACAAACATTATTTCTCCAATTCATAATAATGAAGGAAGCCCCAAGTCTTTTATTAGTGAGCAGCCGCAACCAGAATCCAACGAATGTATCTTATATGATAATGAAACACAACTATTATATCCGGTCTTCGGATTTACACCGATCATGTTACACGAACCTACTCATGATATCGATGATTTAAATAAGTTTGAGGAGTTATTTCGTCTTTTCCATTTTTGGGGAAGCTTTTATGCTTAAGAACAACAAATTATGAATAATTACTAATTATCATGCAGATTTAAATTACTTTTATATATGAATAACAAACATCATTTAAGTTTAAACTCTATTGTTAAATAATATAATATTTATATATGCAATACATTTAAGTATGAAAAAATATGGGATGAGTGATGAAGTCACTTTCCTTTAAGCACTTGTATGAAAGTTTTAGCGCATAAGATATTTTCGTTAAAAAATTATTTTGACTGTTGTTTTAAATATATTAGTCCAAATCTTTGCTTTATCAAAGATTTGTAAATTGCGCATCATGTTATTATTACGGAGATTATGTCTTTTTTTATTTTTTTTTAAATTGCTTGGCATTTATGTATCTAAATTAGTTTAGTTTAAGGATTTAAAATAAAATTATGCTTAAGTATTGTTTGCAAATTCATATTATTTCAAAACTGTACGTACGTACGTTTTTTTTTCTTTAAT